GAGAAAATTATTTAATGGAGAAATGGGGAAGAATTGATTAGAAACGAATCTTTTTAATTTCGTTTCCATGTTATGTTTCCTGTCGTTAATAATTCATATCGGCTTTATTTTTTACCATACCGTTTCCAATTCGAAAGATCGTTTGTTTTCGTTCGTTTCACGATTCTATTTCAATTTCATTTCATAAATCAATTTTTAACCGAATCTATCCTCTTTCTCCATAAATAAAAACCGACGATTTTAACCAAATTTCAAAGAATAATAAAAGGAAAAAATAGGAAAAAAAAAAAAACGAAACGAAACGACATACAAACGAAATTCGTTCAATAATGTCATTTATTCTTCGCATTATACGCGATAACGGATCGGAGCGAAGCTTTTCTACTCGGTGTACCTCGCGTGACGATAAAAATAACATCGCTGATAAAAGAGAAGGAAAGAAAGAAAAGGAGGAGCGGTCGACCATCGACGTGATTTCCACGCTACGATCGCGACGGATATTTTTTCCATTGGCTTCGTTCACCGCGATCACCGCAGCACGGGCCTCTCTCGGTTATTTATAATAAATTCCACGTTCCTTCCTTCGCGATCCATTGATATTCCATTCCATACCTGTACACCGCACTCCACTTTCGACTAAATTAACCCTCCCCCCTCCCTCTAACCCCTCCCCCCATCATCAATCTCCGCGCTAATCCCATAAGCATTATCGGCGGCGGACCTCCCTCCGACTCGATCGCTCGATCGATCTCGAATCATTTCTACTGGAACCGCGAGATTTGCCAAATCTGTTTCATCCGCCCACCAACAGCGGGTTAATTCAAATTCATACGCGAGCGCAATCTGGGGTGGGTGGTGGACGCAATCTCTTTAATGAACTAACGCCCGGCGCAAAAATAGAGCGAACCGATTCTAAACCGGTCGCAGCAGATTAAACGATTATTTTCGACGACGCCCTCGTGGGGGCCAAAAAACAAAACGGGGCCAAAAGCTCTCGTTGGGAGAGAATGGTTTACGACTTTTGGCGGGGGAGCGTGGGATACGGAAGCGCTGCGGGCCGAGAAAGGGGGGGGGTAGGTGGAGGCGCAGAGAGTGGACGACAGGAGGCAGCGATGGCCGAGTTGCGAGGACCGATTTCCGGGATTTGGCTGACGTTTAATGAACGCTGGCAGACGTTTTGATTTACAGGACGGTTTGATTTCCGCGCGGGGCACAATAACCGCCAATTTGTAAATCGGCTCGTAAATCTGGGCGAGGAGAACGGGTGAGCGAAGCGGCTGGGTATATCGTTGGAGACCGATGCGAGCCGACGTATCGCCGCTCGCCCGCCGCCCGCCTAACGCCCATTTGTCCCAATTGGATTAAACAATCGGCGCCGTTAAAAGGTATCGTTGTTTCGCGTATTACCGGTAAACACATCCGTAAAAAAACGAGTATACGGCTCGTTGGTTGATGGTTGGTAAAAATGGAATTGTGCACGTACGTGTTTTCTTTTCGATGTATATCGATTTTCTTCGCGATATACTCCTTTTTCGCGGATACTTTACTGTACTGTCGCGTGTACAGGGAGATTGAACGAATTCGCGAAAGATTTATTTAAATATAAATTTGATGAAATTGGCGGGGGGATGGGTGGAATTATAAATTTAAATTTTGAATCGAGAAAAGTTTTTCGTTGTTATGAAAAAATACGTGATAAAATAAAGAAATATTTATTTAAATAAATCTGTGCAATCTGTGTGCTCCGTAGACAGGCTACGAGGGATTGGTGTCGAGACTTGAAATTAGAATTTTGTATCCTCTCTGCATTCCTTCAATTTCGTTAAATTCACGAAAATATTTCGTACATGCCGTATAGATATATCGACGAGATTTTTCTCTCGATATTATCGTTTTGGTTACGTCGATAGAGAAGAAAAATGTTCAAATGAAGATGGATGAATAAAACATACATTAAAATTAAATTTGTTTTTTTAAATTAACTCGTATATTTTTTAATGCATTAGCAAATGTCGATACTGCTCGACGTTTCTCTCGCGAAGAGGTATTAACCCATTTACGTCGAAAAGTTATTAAGAAATATTTTAGTTCGAATTTCGTAAAATTCATCGTATAAAAGGCAAAAGAGAGAAACAGGCGAGAACAGAGGAGTACAATTACTGTCGCGCGGTAAGTTTTACAAATTTAAAGTTAAAATATTCACTAAGCTAATAACGTTTTTTTGCGATAAATTCCTTAGTTGTTCTTCGTGCAGGGAACGTGACGTAATTCGTATATCGAAAAATATAATACGATTCCATGTTAAAAAACAAGTGTCACGTCGGATCATATCCATAATCCCTCCCGTGGAATCGTTCAATTTTTATTTCAATTCGTTCTGAATGCATCCAACGTAATTATCTCGAGAATCTCCAGAAAGGAAATTATTATAAAGGGACGAAAGAAAATTATATAATATTTTGAACGAAGCAAACGTAATTATCTTAACGAGTAAAAATTTGTTTTTTCACGCTTCTCTCTCCTCCACACTTACGATGGATCGATCGTAGAGAAAGATCGAGAGAATCGATCAGAGATCGCGCATCCCCTATTTCTAGAAGTTTGTTTAAACTCGTTACTCGGGCGCGACAACAGGAAAGTTTCGCGAGGCGCGGCGACGGAACGAAAGGTTAAGGGATAAGCGCCGAAGGCCATGTGTAACTTGCCGTTTCACACTTAGGCGAGCCTCTGTCACCAGGTGGAAAGGAAACAAGGGGACGGGGAGGGGGGAGGAGGGAAAAATGCAACGGGCCACGATAGCGTGAGCGAGCGAGAACGGGCGTCATGTCGTTAACCGAGTTTACTAATTATGGGTCGAGCGCGATAGCTCCGAGTTGCCCTCGGTAATTTCAACGCCGTGGATGTGTAAAAGCGTGATGTAATAACAAGAGAGCCGCTTTGCCGAAGTACCCGTGTGATATTGCTCTAAAAATCTCCGTTAATTAACTCGTAAAACTTGTAATAACGCCAACGAATCAAGTTACACGATTACGACCCTTAACGTTCGAGTGGCCAGTCGGAAGGGGGAGGGGGAGGGAGGGAGGCCTTTTCGGCCCGGCTTTCAACCGGCTAGGAAAAAAAATCACGATGACAATGTTAACCCACGTGATGGGTGAAACGTGAAATTTTTTTTTTTTTATTAATCCACTTTATATATACTCTCCGTCCGGATATACCGCGAGACTTCTCGAAAATGTTACACCGATCGAAATTATTCGAGATCTCGTTTCGTTTGAAATGGAATGTAGAACGTGTTATTATTATTATGCGTTGAATATATCGTGAGAAAAACGAGACAAAAAGGAAGGGGGAGGGGGTGGAAAGAAGGAAAAAGAAAAAAAAAGAAAAGGAAAAGGGAGAATGGAAAATTATCCGGAGATAGAGTTCCTTTATTATAGAGATATTCGGTAATATATTTTGCACGAGACACCGTGAATCGATTTCACGCCTACAGATCACCGATGAGCAAAACGTTTTTGCCCGGCGAATACAGCTGAAGCTGCACTCTTCCAACTTTCCCTGAAGCGAGCTCGATTAAAGCAGCTGTCTGCTAGAGAAATCGCAAGAATCTTAAACGCAATACGTGTTATTTCTCTATAATTTTATTTTGTTCCCCCCTTTCTACCCTCTCCTCTCTCCCTTATTCTTCGTCTTTCCCCTATTCTTTCCCTTTCCCTGTATCGCTCGCGGCTGCGCGATGAGGAATCGCGTATAATAAGTAATTAGCGAAATACGCGAGATCTCAAAGCGAACGATAAAATAAATTGAGCCGACATTCGTGTTACTTTAATCATTAGCTCGAAATATCGGTCTCTCGGGTCATGAGAGGGAACGTTTCGCATCAGCGCAAGTCGCGTGTGCTCGCATCAGCGAAAAACTGCACCGTGGGATTTAATTTGGTGGGAGCTTTATATATATATATATATATATGATATTTTTGTACATTTAATCGAATTTAAATTTAAATTTATTTTCAGATTACCCGCGAATACGTGTATCTATTTAGCCCACTAAAATCCATTTTATTTCGTCGTTCGCGATATCAATGTTCGCCCCGTGACTCGCGAATTAAATGAAGCGATAAAAGAAAAAAAAAAATATCTTCGACTCTCGATACACTTTTGCTAATTCATAATATGGAGAGGGGGGGGGGGAGGAGGCAACCTCCTCTATCTCTTTCATCAATCTCGATATTCATCCTTCTTTCTCCGAATGCTACAGGTCGAATCACACTTCGAAACCGCGTTCCTTTCAATTCTCTTTTCCTCCTCCTCCCTCCCCACCCGACGGAAAAATGTTGGCATCTTCCTCTATATTTTCTCTCCCTTCTCCCCTTCCCCTTTCTTTCTTTCTTTTCATTCTTTTCATCTTGTTCATCGAGCCATCTCAGAGATTGATTTCTCGTATCCCGTCCGTCGTAGACGTCGTGTAGTGGATAGGCTGTGCACGCGGATATAGTCTCGTAGTCTCTATCTTCTCGAGTGGTTGTACATATATTACAGCCCAATAAACCTGATTAACATTGGGTGTTCGTTAATTACAGCATCCCTCTATTAGACCGACTTAGCCATGCGTTAATGATTTCACGGCCTCGTGGATTTCCGACGTATCGACGAATCAACGATACGGTGCATCGCAATATGCATTTGGATGTGCATCCTAGACTAGATGGATGCGTATTTACATATCCCTGTCGTGCTCGCCGCGTATACCCTGGATATCGAGTCTTCAATGATAGACCCTGGCTTATTTATTAATTACCGCCGATCCTTTTCATCCCCGACCTATCGATCGATGAATCGGTTCGTTCGACTTTTCCTCGCCTCTCTCCTCTCCATGAGTTTAGAATTCATATAGAATAAAAAATGTTAAGTGTACTCCCCCTTTCTCTCTCTCTCTCTTTCTCTCTCTGTCTATGATTTATCGCGATGTTTTACATTTCTACTCGTCTGTGTTCGCAGATAACTGCGACTTCGAGGTGCAAGTGGTGGAACAGAGGTAAAATGGCGGACAATCAGAGAAGAAGACGGTATCTGACCATCAGTATACTCCACATCATTACCATCATGTGCCAAGGTAACCTCTTTTCTTTCTTTCTTTTTTTTTTTTTATTCATCTTCGTTCCCGTAAAGTTTATGAAAAGAATGGCGTCCACGAGTCACAATCGTGTGACAATCGTAATTTACAACACGATAACGTAATGCAATAATAAGTTCGAAGCGTAGTAGGAATCTATTTTCATTTTTGCGAAAGAAAAGTGATCGTAACGCGGTCCCTGGATTTATAACAGGCAGCTACGCTAATGGAACTCGCGTAATTATAAAGGCAACTACTAGAATGCTCCGTTCTCTATAAATAATTACGCTCGGTGAAACAATGTTGGTTTATATCGGGCAAATTAGTATTATATCTCGATTAGATTCATACCGCGAAAAATTCACGGGGAATTTGGGATCCCGACACTTGAACGGAGCTCTCTGGTGCCACATTCGCGTGTATTCTTGGAAATGCGCTCAAAAAAAAAAAAAAAGAAAAAAGAAAAAAAACGATTAGCGTTAACCAACCGTGTTTAGAAAAAGCGTGTTTGGTAATTTAATTCCATTAAGGGGACGATAATTTGAACGAATAAAATTCGCAAAAATTATTCGCAGCCAAGTTCTCGTGGTTTCGTGCTCGGTAACGATGGTGATTACATAAGGAAACGTATATGTGTATATATATATATATATATATTAATTTTGGCTCGTTGGGTG